CACTCATGCCTTTTTCAGTTATTTGATGCTCTAACAAATCCGAAACCAGACTGTGTTCCTCAGGATCTTGTCTACTCGCACGCTAACTGTTTTATTTCTTGACTCTGTTACAATTAGGCAAGTTCACATAAAGAATAAAGAAACAGGGTAGCAACATTCAGAATACCAAATCTACAAATTTGTCGATCGTTAGGTTATTATTAGCAAAACGGATGCGCTGACACGGTGAATAACTCCCTTTTGTCAGTCATGTAGACAATTCACTGCTTGTCGTGTAGTGACTGACGAAAGATCCCGGGTACAGTTGTATTTTCTCACTTATCTACTCTGCACGCATGCTTCTGTGTATGCCTGCTATAGCAGGAGGCCTGATGCGAACTCCATGCCACTTTCTTCATTTGTACAACCAGTTGCAAGCAGCGAGTGTTTACTCATTTCCTAACGACTCACCTATTATTCTACCCTTTACGGTCGTTTCATCCGCATCCTTACGATTGTTGTTTAACCTACTCGAGGGTTCTACGCACTTTTCGCTTAACGTGTCTTGAGTGCCACCGAGTGGGCTGGTAGCCCATCTCGCGCTTCTTTTCTTTCTTCTCTTGGTTGCTGCCGTTGGTCCCAGACTAGGCTAGAGCTAACTGCTTATCATATTTCCAAACACTGCTGGAAATATACGGTTTGTTTCAAAACCCTGCCGCGATTTTTATTAGTTCGATGCCACCATATATTTCTTTTTAGACGACCCGAACATGATATGCAGAGAGGTAACACCCCGTTACCCATCATACGGCATCGAACAAATCTACCCCTCCTTTCTCTCAAGAGTATTTGAGGTTAGGCGGCTCACTGCGATAGAGAACCTACACGCCGAAGACTAAGTGATCCAAATAAAAGAATCGTATCAACGTGTAGTGACCTAGGAGATAACCCGGTCTGCCTGCTGTACGATGTGTAAAATTCTTCCCAAAATCCTAGTTCACATTGTACATAGGATCGTAAGGATCTTTGTCTGCCGTCTGCTTGCTGCATGCGATCGCGTTTGTTTGTTTGCATGCTTGTCGGTCCTATGCGCGCCAATGGCGCCATATACACACTTCCGGCTTGCTCGCGCGCTCGACGGTCGGATCCTTAACCTCCCTAGCTACCTTCGCGTATCGGTGTCGTTTAGCGCTGATTGAGACCTATTGTAATTATCGTATAATATACGTTCGGTCTTCCGCAATTATTGCATTCTTATTTCGCGTCTGGTATCCGTTCCGTTCTTTCTTAATGCCATCTATACTACTTAACAGTAGCCAAACAAAACTGGTCCAAAACACCCCTAGAGGTTCCTTCTTATCATCACTCCCCGAAAACCGTCATTTTCAGCACAGCGTGGAAACTGGGTCGTGTTAAGAGGCGATCAAGCAAAACCGCAGGAGACGCCCGGGTTCGAACCGGGGACCTCTCGATCTGCAGTCGAATGCTCTACCACTGAGCTACGCCTCCCGTCAAGCGAGCAGTTTACTTAGTAACACAAGTAATAAAGTCTCATAATCTGAAATGTTGTCAAATCGTATGGGTAGGGAGAAGTAATGGTTACGGGATTTTGTTTCTAAAGGGGCCGACTGGGAAGTCTATGGGAATGTGACAGCTGCGACCAAGTGTGAGTGGTTTTCAATCCATAAGAAGTACTGATAAAAATTGGTCCACAACTTCCACATTCGCATGAAGCTTTCAGCCCGCTTCTCTCGAAACTTAACAGCAGACTGGAGTTTCCGTCTCGATTACACTTGCCAGTAGTGCATATCTCTTTGATGGCTACGATCTTCTGAATTCGATTCAAGACTGGAGGAAAATTCCGTCGTCAAGTCCGAAACTAAGGGCTGATTGAAAATAATCTGGAGTGCAAAAATCCCATCAAATCTGGTGAAGTTAGTCATACTCCCGAAAATCCAGCTGCTCGCCGAGGCAGGCCAAACTTACGAATACCTTTTTTTGAAACTACACCGCGCCGGCAAAGTGTGGAGACCGTATACATAGGAAATGCTTCATATTTTTACATTTCTGTTTTGCTATGAAGAATACAAAGAGCGACTGGACGATGCCTATAGACCTAATAGTATAAGACTATTAGGAGAGAACAGAGGCTAGGCATAATGAAGCATCTCAGAATAAAGCAGCATAAAATGGCGCCTGCACGGGATCGAAAGGATACGCAACAGGGTGATATTAGCACACATTAGAATACATGTTCTATCCGAATTAAACAAGTGAGAGAGAAGTGCTTACGAAAGATAATACACAAAAGACGAAAATATCAGAGGGAAATAGAAAACAGAGATATGTTACTTATTCTTTATGTTATAATATTAGGGTCGAAGTTTCTCTCGTCGGGACTAACGCACAAATCGCGAGCGGAAAGTAGGTTAACACTGCAATGCTAATTCTTTCGTGACTGGGTGTATCTACTAAAGCGGTATACAAGAAATGAGAAGTCATATATATCTCTCTATTATTATTATGATGTCAGAGAGACAGGGAGAGAAGACCCATTTCTCGTGTGAGAGCCACAACACTATGGTACAAGTTAGTAGTGTGAGCGTGATATAGGTTATTATATAAAAAAGGGATTCGTAAGTTTGCTGACCGGCAGCAGTGGATTTCGTGAGTATAGACTAAACTTCACCCAGATTTGATGGGAATTTTTGCACTCAGATGTATTTTTCAATCAGCCCTTATTCGACTTGACACGAATTTCCCTCCAGTCTTACTCATCAGAAAGTACCACAAGAGATATGCACTACTGGCAAGTGTAATCGAGACGGAAACTCTCCAGTCTGCTGTTAAGTTTCGAGAGAAGCGGGCTGAAAGCTTCATGCGAATGTGGAAGTTGTGACCAATTTTTATCAGCACTTCTTATGGATTGAAAACCACTCACACTTTGATTGCAGCTGTCCACCATTCCCATAGACTTTCCCAGTCGGCCCCTTTAGAAACAAAATCCCGTAATCATTACTTCTCCCTACCCATACGATTTGACAACATTTCAGATTATGAGACTTTATCACTTGTGTTACTAAGTAAACGATCCGCTTGGCGGGAGGCGTAGCTCAGTGGTAGAGCATTCGACTGCAGATCGAGAGGTCCCCGGTTCGAACCCGGGCGTCTCCTGCGGTTTTGCTTGATCGCCTCTTAACACGACCCAGTTTCCACGCTGCTGCTGAAAATGACGGTTTTCGGGAGTGATGAGAAGAAGGAGCCTCTAGGGGTGTTTTGGACCAGTTTTGTTTGGCTACTGTTAAGTAGTATAGATGGCATTAAGAAAGAACGGAACGGATACCAGACGCGAAATAAGAATGCAAGCAATTGCGGAAGACTGAACGTGTATTAAACGATAATTACAATAGCGTTCAACGGCTTACAACACGATAGCGGACAGGTGGCTAGGGAGGTTAAGCATCCGACCCGTCGAGCGCGCGAGCAGGCCGGAAGTGTGTTTTTGGCGCCATTGGCGCGTATGGATCGACAAGCGTACAAACAAGCAAACGCGATGGCATGCAGCAAGGCAGACGGCAGACAAAGATTCTTACGATCCTATGTACAATGTGAACTTGGATTTTGGGAGAATTTTGCATCATCATACAGAAGCAGCAGACCGGGGTTATACTCTAGGTCACTACACGTTGAAGGATTCTTTTGTTTAGATCACTTAGTCTTCGGCGTGTAGGTTCTCTATCGCAGTGAGCCGCCTAACCTCAAATACTCTTGAGAGAAAGGAGGGGTAGATTTGTTCGATGCCGTATGATGGGTAACGGGGTGTTACCTCTCTGCATATCATGTTCGGGTCGTCTAAAAAGAAATATATGGTGGCATCGAACTAATAAAAATCGGCGTAGGGTTTTGAAGCGAACCGCACAACTGACCAATAATGATTTGCGCTAAGAAGATGTTGAGATGAGAGCTGAGCAGTCCTGGGACCTATGTGAAGCACGACCTAACGCAGGAGAAGATGAAAAGAACTGAGATACTGGGACAGTTACCAGCACCTACTTTGGTGACAAGACCCACAGACAACGTTAAACGACAAAGTGCGTATGAACCATCGGTAGGTTAAACCCACAGTCGTAAGGATGCGGATGTAAACGACCTTAAAAGGTAGAATAATAGGTGAGTCATTAGGAAATGAGTAAACACTCGCTGCTTGCAACTGGTTGTACAAATGAAGAAAGTGGCATGGAGTTCGCATCAGGCCTCCTGCTATAGCAGGCATACACAGAAGCATGCGTGCAGAGTAGATAAATGAGAAAATACAACTGTAACCCGGGATCTTTCGTCAGTCACTACACGACGAGCAGTGAATTGTCTACATGACTGACAAAAGGGAGTTATTCACCGTGTCAGCGCATCCGTTTTGCTAATAATAACCTAACGATCGACAAATTTGTAGATTTGGTATTCTGAATGTTGCTACCCGGTTTCGGATTTGTTAGAGCATCAAATAACTGAAAAAGGCATGAGTGTCAGTATAGGCAACAAGTATCATGTTTTTTTAAATTTCACATGACTAAATACGGAATAGCTCAAAAGAGCATGAGTAATTAGATAGAAGAAGTGAAATTCTTCAACGCTATGTTTGTGCAGAGAATAACTCAGGAAAGGGTGTGTTCGAAGAACAGAACCGCGAGTGTAAAAATGTACATGTTATGTTGAAAAAGTCAGTTCAAACAATAAGAAATGTTGATATATTCTGCATGACGCACTGGTTCGCAAAGCTCCCTACTGAGACGATTATACCTAGAAGTAAAGGGGCAGGAGTCGGGCATGCGGGCGTGTCGCTAACCATAGGGGGTTCCAAGTACGGATCGCCGTATGACACAGAGGGTTCCAGACAAGCAACGCTTCTTGTTGACTGAGAAGGTGCGGCTGATAATTCTGTAAATGCTGGTTTCAGCTTACCGACCGAAATTACATCATGCTTGCATTTGAGGTTAATGGTGAAAGTCTTTGTACGCTTTGTGTGGACGCGACTGGGACCGGCATATAGAGGTTGCATTGGTTGGCGCTGACTATCCGTACGTACAAAGACATGGCTACAGAAGGACAGTTTAGTACGCACGCGCACGGCTAGCGATTGCTCACTAGGCTGCAGAGGGAGTAGCTTTCGCATGTGGTGTGCTAAGCAAGCTGTAATGGCTGCTGTGGTTCTACGGTGCTGAAGGTGCTGGTGAGACGAGTTCACCTGGTAACCTAAGAACGTAACCAAAAACTAGTTTGGCTGCAATTACTTTTGAATCCTCCTTAACCATGTTCCATAGTCCTAAAAGCACTAACGGAAGTGCCCCTTTCTATGGAGGCTTAGCATGAGCGCTAAGAGTGGCGTTTAGCTGTGGACGAAAACGACCAACCATCTCGTTTGCTGTCATTGTGCAAATGTGCCTGTGTCCTAGAGTACTTAACAGGACAGTAACATGTCTCCTAAAATGCTATCCACGACCTGTGGTTACAACTGCTGGACAATCAGACTGTGTCACGCAAAGTTCCGGAAAAGTGCTGGCTACCCTTCTGAAGCACAGTGTATTAACGGTATGGATATAGGCCATCTTGTGAAGCGGACAGCACATGCCAACAGATAAATAGAGCCATTTGAAGGTGGCGTAGGGCCCATTAGATCGACGTGCATGTGGCGAAAGTTTGCGTCTTACAGAGGAAAAGTGCCTGTAGGGTTCGTCGTATGACGGTGAACTTTCGGACGTTGGCCTTCAATATGTGAGCGGATTCACTTGCGAACATCATGGTATGTTTTATGTTGTACGAAACGTTTATCAGCAAGTTTCACTGAAGCACTATGCCCGGGTGAGACAAGTTGAGCGGTATGTCGAATAGTGTGCTGCCGAAAGATGAAGATGTTGCAGGGTGCGGTGTGCCCTGGGAAGTTTTGCAGGAGATTGTGCCTTCTGGAGATGCCCGGGGTACAGGTTGAATTGTGAGGGGGATCCTTTGAGGAAGGTGCTCGATCTCTGGATCAGTGGCTTGCGTAGCAGCCCTGGCGTGCAAACCAGTGCCATTATCAGCGGACGTGCTAGCATTATTGAACGCTGAACATATGGCATCGCGAGCGATGGCATATTCGATACTTAAGACGTCATATGTCAGTCAGTAAGATATATAGTCCAGGTGCATAACTTTCCTTAAGGAACTCCTACCGGGTAAAGCAGTTAAGCAGTAGATCAACGGTTTGTGATCAGTGCAAACTGTGAGGTTTCCTGCCTCAACCGAATGCCCGGGAGTAGTGAGTATCACAAAGAGACTGCTATTAACTTCCAACCCAAACTTGCTATACCTTGCGGGATTCTGAGGGTTGTAAACGTTTGGAGAAGGCCAACGGTTGCCAGTGATTACTGACGAACTGTACCGACATCCGCGTCAAAAGACTCGGTTACAACTGACAACGCTGCTTTCAAGGTGGGATGAGTAAGGAGAACTAAGTCAGCGACCACATCCTTCAG